GACACTCTTGTGGGACACTCTTGCAGGACACTCTTGTGGGACACTCTTGTGGGACACTCTTGTGAGACACTCTTGCGGGACACTCTTGTGGGACACTCTTGTGGGACACTCATTTGGGACACTCTTGTGGGACACACTTGTGAGACACTCTTACGGGACACTCTTGTAGGACATTCTTGTGGGACACTCTTGTAGGACACTCTTGTGGGACACTCTTACGGGACACTCTTGTTGCACACTCTTGTAGGACACTCTTGTGGGTCACTCTTTTGGGACACTCTTGTCGGACACTCTTGTGGGACACACTTGTGGGACACTCATACGGGACACTCTTGTGGGACACTCTCGTAGGACACTCTTGTGGGACATGCAGGACACTCTTGTGGGGGACACTCTTGTGGGACACTTGTCTTGTGGGATACGCTTGTGGGACACTCTTGTGGGACACTCTTGTGGGACACTCTTGTGGGACACTCTTGTGGGACACTCTTGTGGGACACTCTTGTGGGACACTCTTGTAGGAAACTCTTGTGGGATACTCTTGTAGGACACTCTTGTGGGACACTCTTGTAGGACACGGTTGTGGGACCCTCCTGTAGGGCACACTCTTCGTACGAGACTTCCTCCAAAAGTCACGCTGCGAGGCTGCAAGACGAGCGTTTCGTACGAGACTTCCTCCTAAACTCACGCGTCAAGTCTCAAAAACGAGCGTTTCTTACGAGACTTCCTCCAAAAGTCACATGTCAAGCCCCCAAAACGAGCGTTTCGTACGAGACTTCCTCAAACGTTTCGCACGAGACTTCCTCCAAAAGTCCAGCGGAAACACTCATCGGAGCACACACATCACGCAGCCCTGCCAAGCAGTTTCGCGAGTCCAGCCCCTCCAAACGACACCCGCTCACACGCCATTCCCAATGCGACAGCGACATTCACCCCTACCACAACTCACAACCTCCCGATTCCCTGCGCCTGCCACGAATCTTTCCGCGTCCACACGTCTAACGCGCACAAAGTACTGTGCCTGCCACGAAATGTCACCTCCGTCACACATCGCAACCTCACGATTCCCTGCGCCTGCCACTAAAATCCCACTTCCACACCTCAAAACCTGCACAAAGTCCTGCGCCTGCCACGAAAAGTAACAATGTCATCTCATGCGAGCTTCAACAAAATTTGCACCACACCACACGTTTGGAATGATTTCGACCCGTTCTGAGCACACTCCCCCCCACCAAAATCGGCATTTCAGCTGAGACTTGTCACGAAAACAGAGCTTCGATGCCACGCCCTGAAACGCAAATCCTAATGGCACGGCCACATCCAACACCCCAAAAACACGATTCTCCAAACGCTAATCCCAATGGAACTGCGCAGCAATCTGCAGATCTCACCAAACGCTGCGCCTGTGCAGCGAAACGCATCACGTTTCTTGCGCGACATCTCATTTTCATGCAAATCACAATGGAATAGCGGCGCAAACTGACACGTGACACATCCATGAAAAGTCACTTGCAAAAGCTTCCCCCAATGGCAGCGCCTTAGCGTCCTACTGCGAACGGTTGCGGACGGTTGCGAACATAGAAGCAACGGGTCGCGAACAAGGCTCTACCCCCAGACCCCCAAGAGTTAAACGAGAACCCTTCGCTACGCATTCGGGAACAAGAACGAAAGGTTTAAAGCAGAGGGTCACTGAACAGAAAGACAAGTTGGTAAAGGGCGGTTGCAGCTTACTTTGCTTCACAGCATGGCAAACAGAAAGCTCACCAGGCTGGTCGCACCCGTTGGCAACCGATGAACTGCTGGAAGACTGGTTCCCAATCCGTCACCAGATCGAAGATTTCCTGCCAAAAGCCAAAAGAACAGGCAAGAAGATTTCAGGCTAGATACGCTTCTAGTAGCCAGAAGTCCGCTGCTAGGCAACAGGGATGCAAAAGAACACATCGCATGATTGATGTCTTTATCAGATTTGAGAACACTTTTGTAAGTATAAGCCGCTCACACACAAATATCATCCAGCAATTGTGTTTGACATATGCAACCTCCACAAATCCCAAATTGCTTTCCTTACGGGTCCATACCCGTGTCTGACACAGATTTGTGAGTAGCTCTTTCCCGAGATTGGCCCTTATCACGACTAAGCAGCTATGCATTTCGCGTCCTCAATGCCCTCATCAGCAATGAAGGTGGCCAATCGGCCACGCTCGGCCTCAGGATTGCAGCTGCAAAGCCCAACTTTTCGCCAACTGTCAATCAAAAAGAAGGAGAGGTGTGACAAGGAACTGGGGGCTAAATTCCTGCAGTTCCAATCAACACTGTTTTTTCTCTCTGTACTGTTACATAGCTGCGAACATCCTTCCAAAGAACAATTATCACCAAACCACAACAACATGCCAAGCCTTTGCGCCCTCCCTGTCGTTTTGCTGAGGACATCAGCCACCATGCAGGCGTTAGCCCGGTGCGTGCCGATCTCATGGATCTGCAAACGAAGCTCCTTCAGACCTACAGGTGTCACCAGCAGTGCGGGTGCAGCTCAGCACACGGGAAGGGATTCTGCTATACCGCGAATGTCTAGATTGAACACCCCACCCCAAAAAGCTTTCAATTAACTTGCAGAACTCTATCTAACTGTCTGCAGGGAGTAACTCAGCCATTTGACGGCAAACACTGTTGGACCAATTCATAGCACGTGCACTCTAGTACATAGATCTTGCACTTTACAAAGACCAACATGATGCGACCGGCCTTTTTGACCGCCAAACGGAAACATCAGAACAACTGTCTTTGGTTTCTTCCATCGCCCCTAGGGGCTCCTGGCCTTACTAGGAACAAGAAACTAGGTTGGAGATCATTCCTATTAGGTTGGAGACCTTCAACCTCCCCGTGAGCTTCTGAGGCCCAAACAAGCCAAGGCATGGCCGAAGGCCACTCCAGTCTGCGATCACAAGAGAAGCAGATGAAAACACCCAGTGCGGCAAACAAACACCCAGTGCGGCTTTGGAGTCATGGGTTCCCTGAACATGCACCTTCAAAGACTGGGCACATTTGGACAGGAATCTCAAGTGAGGGAGTCACACTTTCATTAAGATGGTTGGAGCTTGGCAGCAGCACGAACTATTTTAGGATAGAAACTTTCAAAAAGTGATTGCACTGAGCTGTGTTTTTTTGTGCTTTGTTCGAAGAATGCTAGTCTCGAAGAATGCTAGTAAACTTGAATTCTGATGTAGCCTGGTTGACTCTGGGGAAAAAGGACTGGTCTAGGGTAGTCCTCAAGGCTCTGTAAGCCCACATGTGTTTGTTTTTCTTCCATTGCAAAGAAGGGTGAGGATCAGAGCTTTTCACAAATCAATGGAGACACGTGCCTTGTTCCAATGGTGTGTCAAGGCCAGCTCTACACTGAGTCGCTCAAAGGGATGAAGGCGCCTCGAAAAAGGACACAGCCCAAAACCATTGCACAGCTTCCAGTGTGAAAAGCGTTGGATTTGTTGGATCCACAACTGTATCCGAACTTGAGACGGTGCAGACGTGTAGAGCTGTGTGATTGGGAGCACCTTGAATTGCTGACCAATCTTTTTGCTTTGGGGTAAAGCACTTGTTACTACTAGTAAGGCACTTGTTCCTAGTAGCTTCTTGTTACT